GTTTCACTTCTTCTTTTCAAATAATTTTTCAACTTGTTTTATTTTTTGGTTCGTTGTTAGTGGCCATTTATCATACAATTCTTTATTTATGTCTGCCGACCAGGCAACAAGCTATAAGTTCCAAGCTCTGAGCTCGAAACTTCTTTGTGTGCAGCAAAAGTTTTTTGTCAAGCGCCTTGAGGGAGTCCAACCAAATCAAGTGAACAAAAGGGAGGCCCAATGATAGTCGGGGGTTCGCTTTGTGCCTCTGTTGTTTGGCATGCGAGTGTTAAATCAACAGAAAGTTCCGCCAACTTTTCAATTGGTTTGACAAATATAATGAAATTTACAACATCCCATCGAAAATGGGTCGGGAAAAGATAGCAGAAAAAGATGATAAGGACAACAGTGGCATAGAGCAAAGAACAAAAATTGAGGACAAAAACCAAATTAGCACCAATATATGGTTTGCATATATAGAAGTCATAAATCAAGTGAATAAAGTACAATAACTTTGCTTATTGCTATTCATTTTGGACTAAGTCAGTTCCATTAAGTTTACCCTGTGCCTAAAAAAAGCGGGTTAAAAAGGATTAGAGTTTTGGCAAATTTATACAAAATGTAGAAAAAAAACGAAAAGTAAATACCCACTGATTAGCGGCAATATATGGGTCGATATATCCAATCTCGGTTTGTATGCATGAACGTGCCAATTAAGAAAAGGCATTTAAAAACTTATAGACTTTTTCAGGAATGCATTTTCCATTGGGTCGCTGGGGGAAGAAAAAGCCTTTTCGCTGCTTGAAGTGCGCATTAGCTTCGTGCTTCCCCGAGCAGGGGAATTCAACGCAACCCATAAATAAAACTACGGGTTTCTTGATTTAATTCATTTTGAGATGGTACTATAATTCTGTCTTGATATGTATAATGCATTCTCAACACTAAATAACATTATCAACAGCAGAGTCGATATAGCCATGTCAGTATGTTTGCCAGTCTGTATATTTCTATACAAGCTAATCTCGTAACTTTAAATCTCAACAATGTATGCTAAGTCACACTATACTTTTTACACATAGCCCAAAAAACGATATTATGTATAAAAACTATTTATTTCTTAAGATGTCGTTACCACCTTCAGTATTTAAAAGATTTCGTATGCTTTTTATATGTAAGTAAATTCTTCATTAGATCGGAAAACAATAACCAAGGGTTCCCAAGGAAAATGGACCGAACCCTTCTATTTATTTATTGATTTTTCTGAACCCATTGAAAATGTGAAAAAAGGCTTTAATGGTTTTGTTTGTAACAGGCAAAAGGCATATTCGACTACATAAAGTATGTATTTTCTTATACAGCGTCAACAGCCGAGGCGTTTTAGCCATGTCCGTCTATCTGTCTTTATATATAAACCGCCGATCTGCGAGATTATGAGAGCTAAACTTTTTAAATTCTAAGCAAAACCTTCTAGTAGCCCACGCATATCAATTTTATCAAATCATCGATAACTTAAGTCGTTTTAAGAATATTTCGCAGCTTATAGAAGCTGGAGACAAAAAGTGGGACTGAATACAGAATATTTCAATTCTTGAGTACCTTCTTCTTTTCGAAAGTATCCCAACCCAAGTGGGCGTGCCCAATAAAATGGACCACAATGTCTGACGTACATAGATATACACGAGCATAAATTGCAAGTTATAAGTTCTTGCTTCAACAAACAAATGGAATCCCAACAAATTTAATATCCCACGAACCCTACAATTGAACAGCGTATTTTCCCAAAGATGCTGTCTATCTTTAGGTTTTTGTTCTTATACCCTGCACCCGATGAGATTAAGTAAATCGGGTATAACGCGTTCGTAAACATGTATGTAACAGGCAGAAGTCATCTCTGCCTCCATAAGGTATGCATATTCCTGCTCAGCGTCAATATTCAGCAGTCATATCCTATAAGAGATGAACACTTGAAGTGTTGATTTACTTTCTGCTCCTAGCTCCTCCGCAACGCGACTTTGTTTCAAATAATTGAGCTAGTTCGTCGTTTCTATGAAATCGATAAAAGTCGAACTTGAAATTTTGTTTTTTTGCTCATTTCTTAGGGTCTTAGAGTTAAAGTGGCCAAAATTGATATATAGCTCCCAAAAAGGATCAGATTAAGTATCTTTAATTTTATACCTACCTTATCACCTACAAGCCCTTCGATATATATCAGTGAATGTACAAATACACGTTAAAAAATTCAATTTCTAGCTATTATCTAGCTATTATACACTCTGAGACAGACGCATGGATAATGGAGTATAATACGTCAATCTATCTTCCTTAAATCATATATAGCTATTTCCAGCATGCCTGGTTGTGTTTTTGGTAGAAAAATGTTGAAGGTATCTGCTAGTCGAGCAATTCCGACCAAAGCGCCTTATTATTGTTACTCTAGTAGCTATTGTGATGGGAATATGTACCAATCTATTGAATATCATTTGAAGCAAAAAATTTAATTGCTAGAATTAAAACCCGTTTTAAACGCATTCACATTATTTAACCAAGCATTTTACTTTCTGCTGTAGTATGATGTCATGTTATTATATGGAATTCAGAAATAATGCAAGTATCGTCAAGCTCGATAGCATCTAAATGCAAATATTATTTCCAGTTAATCGAAATTTCGCAAAAGTAAATTAATATATATAAAATTATTGAATTTGTTCAGCACAATTGGTATTCGGTATCAAGTTTGTAATGAGCCAAATCGTAAGAAAAAAATATAGTAAAAGTTATGTCATGTGTGCCGAACCAGATGAAGATCGCGTTGCACGCACGTTTGCTCACAATTACAATTTTTAAATTCTTATCTTTTTATTTGGTAATTGGATATACAAACATCGTATATGAAAGCTATACTAAAAACTAAATACAAATAGTGCGAGGAAGTATGGCCATCCTCAGCACACCGAATATTGGATACAGTATTGTAGATGCTGAGATTGGTCGAATCGTATCGAATCGGTTCATATTTGTGAAAAAAAAAAATATACATACATATATATATATATATATATATATATATATATATATATATATATATATATATATATATAGGTATATATGCATATATGCATATATGTGATATATATATTTTTCTTTTTAATTTTTTTTTTCTATATATATTTATTAAGCCAGAATTTTTGATATGTGAGAATAGTGCAGATCGAAAACGCTGAGTTTGTTGAAAATATCTTTGAAAACTGAATATTTGGCCACATAAGATCCGATTTTTCATTCATACAGGGGTAAAGTTAAATTTTTATATGACGAATTTAAACCAAAATGAACAAAAATAACGAATGAACAAAAGGGTTTTCCATACAAGAACCTACACAAGCTCACTTGTAGAAAACACATTTCAACTGTATGCCATAGTTTACAACAAAAGCTAAAAAGTATGACATGGCTCTTAAAGGAAAACAGCAAGCTTTTTCTGAACAACAAGGTGCTGTTGTACAAAACCCTACTGGCCCAAGTTTGGCGCTGTGTAAGCAAAATCTTCGCCACCGCAGCAAAATCCCATTAGAGGGAAATTAGTGTCTTCCAATCCAAGGTATTGGTATATCCGCAACCGGGCCTTAGCAAGCGACCTAAAGGTTCCCTTTGTGGATGACCTCTTACGACAGCAGTCTACCTGCTTCTTGGCCCGTAGCTGAAGAGAAAAAACAAAAACACAAGAACCTACTATTGGACTGATCGTTCCTATGACAGCTATATAACAAAGTGGTCCGAACCGGCTGGTTTCGACATATATACTGCCTGCAACCGAAAGATGGACCTATTCAAAGTTTTAACACGATAGCCTCAAAGCTGAGACTCCAGATCCCAAAGACACAGACAGACGTACATGACTATATGAAACGGCTGTTTACGATGATCTAAAACATATATTCCTTATGGGGTCTGAGATGTTACACATTTCCCGAAAAAATACCCTCTACATGGTGCCGACGATTTCTTTAATATCTTCTGTGTTTATTTACGATGAAGTTCTGCTTTAAATCTAATTGTTTTATGGATTGTTCGTAAGTTAAAAAAAAAAGGTACCTCTAAACTGTAGTAAGCAATGCAATTTGCTCCAATTGAAATTTTCAAATATTCTCTTTTTTTGGATGGGGCGGGTTGCAAAAAATTAAATGTAAATGGTATGCTCAAAAAGCAGATATCGATATCGAATTTAGTCTCTATCTCTTATAGGTACTTAGATTGGCACGATCCTAATTACGGACAAACGCAGATGGCTAGATCGACTCGACTTTTGATAATGTTTATCAGCACAGCTTACCCCATTTTTTTCCATTTTCAACAGTTAAAAAAATGAAAACATATAAAAAAAAGTAAAAGTGACGTAGTTGTCAGTTCCCTTCTATCAGATACCATGAACCTTTATTATATATTATTATTTTTAACTTTTGTTTTTAAACAGTGTTTACTATATGAGAGCCCACACATCAATTTTGTGTGTACAAATATATATATATATATATAATATACCTAGCATTTTTAAGCTTTGGTCCAAAATCAATTCATATTGATTTGATGAAAGTGGGAGGAGAAACTAAATGAAAACTTTTTGGGCGTATAGTATAAGAGAATGAATGTAAATGTAAGTTGTTGAAATTTTCGATCTCTACCTATTGTAGTTTCTAGATCGACGCTTTCATACAAACAGACAGACTGCCAGTCAGATGAATATGAAGGACTAATACCGTCTTTCTTATTAAAAAGTATATACATATACCATGCAAAGTTTCTTGACTATAGCTTCAAGTCTACAATGTATACAAATGACAAATCGAAATATTTCGCTTAAGCAGTTACCGTACTGATAAAGAATATACATCTACTTCTTCTTGCCAGAGATATCAGTATAAAAAGCAATAATAACCTCTGCAAGAACATACATCAATTTCACCTATTTTCACATTAAATATGTTTGCATGTGTTATGTTTTCAAACTAATTGCATTTAAATTTAAATAATATTTCAATTACAGAATGGATACATATGTTTGTGTATACATTAAAAAAAATTAAAAAGTAACTGTGATATTTCATTCTTAGACTATTTAGGAATTCTGCGCGTTTAACTTTTAAGAAATCCAAGACTTTGGCTACGCCTGCCTGTAAGGTCGGATTAGCATGCGAACATATCGCAACGACCCTGTGGGACCCGGTACAAAGGTTTTCCAAAGAATGCCTTTAAAATAGCCAATCTCCTGGCCATACTTTTTTTGAAAAGTGCCAAATAGATTGCTGAAAAATAAATAAAAAAATGTATTTAATAGAAATAAATAATATCGATATTAAAATTATTTGAAACAAGAAAAATGCTCAGTTCGGGTGCAAGCGGCTGCGAAGTTATTGAATCACAGTGTAAATGCCGAATCAAACAAATGAAAAAAGTCTTTTCAATTATTGGGTTTGAGATTATAAAGCTGTAAGTCCAGCGCAGGGACTTTTAAGTTCTGACTACGAAAAATATCATTTTTAATTTGGCTGTTAGCGGGTTGTTGGCCTGTGAACGGTAAGCCGCTGTCGGTTGAAACGGAATGGGGCATTTTTATTGATTTGTATGGAAGATACAAAATTGAAGAATCTGATGTATTTCCACAGTAACTGTGTATTTACCTCTCAAAACATTCGCGTCCGTACCACCAGGCTCCCGCGTGAGTACGTGCGCAGTTTTGTCCGTTGTCGTCGTTATCCTGGTCATAAGTTGTGAACTTCTTGCCGGCGTGATATCGCATGGAGTCGCCTGCGTCGCCTTTGTAGGTGCCCAGCAAATAGAGAAAATACTTCTCCGCTTCGCTGGCAATGCTGAACTGATTATAGAGCGCGAAACGCTCCTCCCTATCTTTGTTACGCATTATAATAAGCAGCTCGTGAAGTTCGGTGTGGGTCAGCCTATACAATTTGTCCAGGCCAATAAAAAACTCAGAGTTAAGCTCACCAAAACCAGACTTGTATGCATGCCAATCGCGACTAAATTCCTCACTGCCATCGAATCGATAAGCGATCACTAGCCATCCACCGTCGCGCACCGTTTGATCACAGCTCACATAAAAGGGCTCGACATCAGGCCGGATACGGATGAGCACCTGACCGTGCTTTTGATCCAGACAATTGCGCGGTGTATCATCGACATCAGTGACTGAAGCCATTACAGTTGGCACGAAAGGATGAACTGGAAGGCTAAAATGAAAGGGCGAGAATTAATACAGATTTAAGGTATTCTGAACAACAACACCAACAAACCACTTGAGTTACCTACATATATACAGCGTGTCAGCATAAGCATTCCGAGCTCAATGACTAAATACGCATATATGTTGATTTATATACAAACTACATAGGTAAGTCATAGGCAGGCTTAAAAGGTGTTACTATTTTATAATCTAATCTAATCTAATCTAATCTATTAACTGGCGGATTCATATTAACAACTTACATGCGCGGTTCAATTTGTCCGCTATATGATTGGTTTTTATACTGGTCGATGAGATTTTGCAATTCGTTGAGATCCGCTCGGAGCGACCGCAGTTCATCGGTCATGTGTTGGACACTGTATCAAAGTAACTGTTACATAAGCACAGTTTGATACTTAATTTAATGCATCCTTGCATATTACTTACCGCGCCATCAGACCCCCCAGCGCAGAGACTGGACAGCCGCCTGTGTGCTGCAAAGAAGAGTTGGAGCCTTTAGAGTGGTGTTATTTCTAGCCCATCATAAAATTTACTCACATTATCCACGCGAAGCGGCTCTAGCGAATTTTTCATGATATTTGGTATGGGTTTTTCAAAAAGCGGCGTTGATGTCGTGCTCAGGCAGGCCAAAGCTGTGACTAGTGCTTCTAGAGCCATGCTGGCAGCGAAAAGCAGCTGCTTATAAGAAACTGAGCTTTTAACTTCGATTGCAGGCAGCACTCGTCCAAGATAAAGTTTGATGTGTACGCCAACAGCTCGGATAGTTAACTGCGACGCAATCGACCCGCAGGTGATATGCTATTCATAGACAAGTTACGAGCGGCATATACTCATGTTAGAGTATCTAACTATGAAACTAGTTGCCAGTCCGACGCATATAATAGAATACTCGTTTTCAATGCGCCCGTGTGCATTTAAATATAAAGCTGAATTGAAATCTATTTGTCGACCTTTGGTGCTGCCACTGGGGAAAACAACAATAAATTGATCCACAAAAGCGGAACGTAAAGCCAAGCTCAGTTTAGTTGTGTACCTGAACATGAGCGTAATGCTGCAACTGGACGCGTTGGTCACCATGCTGGCCTGCCTTACCACAACGCATAACGATCCAGGCGATCATGCCCTACCCCTCGACAATTTGGTGAGTCAAATGCACACGGTTAAAAGGACAGCACACTGACATATTTCTACGTAAAAAACCAAAGTCATGCACAACGTGCTCTCATACTTTGTCTCTAAGCCAGAGATATTCTTTGAAATCTTCACAGTTTTAAGAATTCAATTAGTTATTGCATAGACCTGACTTAATACTTAATAACTTAATAAAGTTAACGCAACAAGTTTGACCGGGCGTGCAGCCCGCAAGATAGTTTTTTATATGACAGAAATTATTTGGTATGTATGTATTATGCATATAGATTATTGTATCCATAGTCAGAAGCCAAAATTATTTTTAGGTAAATTTCCGTTCAATGACAGAAACGAAATGATTATCTATATGCAATATATACCTAAATGTATCTATATACATGCTTTTCACATAAGAATGCATATACAAATTATATCCTACACAGACATCCGGAAGCTTTCCCCTGTCAACGCTTAGTGGACTTACCACACGTATTCAGGCTCTATCAACAGACATTGCCAGCGCCAAGGAGCAAATAGGTAGCCTGCAAGAGCAGCTGGTAGATCTGCGTCGCTGGACTGCCCCTAGAGTTGCCACAGCAGTTGCGGCGGAAAGGACCATTGGCACGCGCATGTAGGTTATCCGTTTCAGCACAAAACTGAAGCATTTCTAACATGCAATTTTAGTACTGATTTGGAGCCACAAATACTGAAGGATGCTGCAGTGCCGGCTGTTGCGACCGTGGAAACGGGTGCTGGTCTTGGGGTATCGGCCAGCGAGCCGAGCACGCCACATAACTGCCTAAAACAGCAAAATGGTGTAGTGCTTATTCGCCCGCAGGCTAATATGGATGCTTTTTATGTGTTTTGCGATCAGAAGACCCGAGGCGGCGGCTGGACTGTGATGACAAATCGTTATGATGGTAGTGAGGACTTTAACCGCAAGTGGGAGGACTATAAGATTGGGTTTGGGCCAATAACAAATGAATTCTTTATTGGACTGGAGAAACTGCATCAAATCACAAGTAGTGAAGATAACGAACTACTTGTACAACTGGAAAATCGCAAGCAGGAGCAGCGTTATGCCCTCTATGATCATTTTAGCATTGGCAGCGAATCAGAGCAATACCGCCTGAATGTACTAGGGAATTACCAGGGAGATGCCTCCGATGCACTGCGTCAACACACCGATAGAAAGTTCAGTACGCATGACAGGGAAAACGATGAGAATGAGGTTAACTGCGCAGTTGCACAATCATCAGCCTTTTGGTATAGCAACACGTGTACTCTAAGGTAAGTCCAACGGATCTAAAGATACCCAATTCCAATATGTATCCTTTTCCTTAGCAATCCATTTGGCCTTTATCAACGCCTGCTAGAACGCGATGTGGATAGCTATAAGGGCATCCTATGGCGCGGCTTTCTCGATGGTCCTAAGGGTTCCCTGAAACGGATGCGCATGCTAGTACGTCCCCGCGCCAGCAGCAGCTAAACACATTATCCATCTGCATCATATGTTTACATACAATATATTGATAAATAAAGAGATTATTCGCGTTTTAACAACAAATCTCAAATAAATAAATAAAAAAGCCCAAGTATAAATGCGTGCGTCGGGTTAGCCCGACATCCAGATACCGTATACCCAAGCCTAATCTGTCTTATCTAGATAAATATATAGAGTTAATATACATTTTCGATAAAAAAAAACCTATCTCACATTTTTATACATAGTTTGGTGCTGGTGATTTTCGATTTAAAACACAAATTTTTAGGTTATCTGTTTTTCGTGCGTTTTAAAACCTTCAAAACATAACAAACATTATACAAAATGTGTGTAGTTCTTTAAACCTGTTTTGTAACTACAAAAGGTAAATGTATCCTGTGTGAATTATAAGGTAGACTGGCTAGAATAATATCATAAACCTATGATTTTTGCAGTCAAATGGATGGACAAAGAGGCAGACATGACCTTATCGAATTGGCTGTAAATACTGATCAAATAAGTATAATGATAGTTATTCCGGCTTTTACGTACAGAGTATAGAACCTAAAACTTAAACGTAGAGCACATAAATTTATAAGTGACTTATTTCCATTCTAGACCTCATTGAGATTGTCTGTTCCCTCAGTAACTGGCGTAGTTGTGCGGCTGGTTGTTGTGGTTGTGGGGTCCTCATAGCCCTTGACTACCAAAGCATCGCCAAAAACGGGCTTGAAAAATAGAACGAAGCGGGAATAACGACGTGCGGAATTCTAGAAAAGAAGAACATTAAGATAAATAAAATTCAAATTTCCCACATTGATACGTACAACAAGTAAGAGACTCTAGTTGGAATGACTAGGGGGTACCCTGAACCAAAGACAATATACACACTAAGATGGGTAACGCCCATACATTTGAATGCGACCCAACATTTTTGCCTGGCTTTTTGGCTATTCGCTATTTAAAGGACACGCCAGCCGTCTGGCCTTTCGCTCTCCATAAGCCAGACGTACGAATGCCGATGTCGTGTCTTGTTGATGCTGATACGAGCAACAAAGTCAGTCGCCAACCTGCCTTCAGCAGAGCTGGTCGATGGTGCTCTGCGTCGTTTCATTTTCGAAATACATTGACCGAAAAAGTATAAGACACATAGTACTTAATCCATGACATGCATGCTTTGTATGAATGATTTATTACCCCAGATACTATTGATATGTTTAAAATGAAAATTGAAAAGTAAAATAATTTGATCACAAAGCGCACCTTTTGCAATAACTATCTTCAGAAAATATCCCACGTAAAATGATTCTACATTAGTTTTGCACAGTGTATGCTGTTTGCTGCCAAAGAAATTAATATTGTTGTTTTTCTACCGCTGACCTCGACCTATCCCAAGTTTGTATTTTGTATGTACGTTGTATACAGAGGTTAGCTCTATAGAAAATCAGTATTTTTAAGTCGATGCAAATATTTATATAAGACCCCGTCTTAACGTACACATTAATCAGATACGAATTTTAGTAAGATATCCCAACCTTTTAACTCTTACGATTGTCTCTGCAATCATTCTTAAGAAGAATATACAAAATGTATAATGTTTTAAATCTGTATATACGATGCGTATTTGACACAGTAAGGGCTCCGGCAATTCCTTTTTTTCCATATTGGTCTTTCTGCGTATTGTATTGTGACAGGTACCTAGCTTTTTGTATGAAATCTCTTAGTCGGGCAGTCCTGATTAGAGCTTTACTTATTATTTATAGTCAAATTAATAATTATCGTTAAAAAAATGTGTTTATTCAAAACCGTTTAATAATTTACTATTAATAGTTTTATATTGCTTAAGAAAAAATAAATAAAGAATATACTTACCATAATAAGACGGGAAAGTGCTTGGGAGACTTGGGTGACCGTTCGGAATGATTTGGTGAACAGCTCGTCGGGAAGCTCAAATGAGACGTTGCTGCGGTCCAGTTCCGGCGCGTCACTTAGATCTTTACCCCCGGCGCGAGTCCGACGTTTGCTCTGCTTGAAAAAGCAGAGAATTAGACAAAATTTAAATAAGAGAGGATTGTGAGTAAGCTGTCTTATCAAATCATGCTACATATTAAACATAAAAGAGGCAAGGCCAAGGCTAACGCTAGACCCCATGGTCGCATTGAAAATTCCGGTTTTGGGTTTGTTTGCGTTTTTTTTTTTCTTTTTATATATTTTGTTGATATATATGTAAAAATTTTTTGCTTTATTTATCGTTATTAAGTCGAACATTACATACATATATGCGCCAATATTTACAAACATGAGTACAATGCGTTGCATAAAATTAAACTAATATATTGCCCTGACGACAAAGAAATTGACAGCGTTTAACAAAATTAAATCTTAAGTCTAAGCTACAACAACAACAAAAAATCATACAAAGTTTAAATGTCAATGAAGGAGTGCGAGCATCAGAGGAAAACTTAGGACTGTTCACTCCTGTAGAGTGTGTGATGTACATAAATTATAAAACCATATTGTAGAACGGACAATCGAGCGATCCAGGCCAGGTCATCCAATGTCAGCTAGGTAGCCAGTTAGCCAATTGATTTAATAGCCTGCCTCATCGGAGTCGGGTGCAGGTGTTGTGACGCCTGCAATGCCATTCACTCCGCCCGACGACCCCTGCAATATGGGCCCCGAAAAACTTAAAAACTTGGACACCACATTGCCCAAGCCTGCATTGGCATTTCCATTGCCCGATGAGGAGCCGCTAAAAGCAGTTATGGTAGTCAATACGCCAGTCGTCAGATCATTGGCAATATTGCCAATTGAGCGTATCTTTGGCGAAACGACGGCTGTGATTAAAGTCTGGAAGTCCTTAATTGGCACCGGCGCCTTAATGTCCCACTGCTTATTCTTCTCAATGTTCGATCGATCCAGCTGCTCAATCACGCGAGTCTTTGTGTCTAGAAAGTTGTCGATCTTCTGCAATGGAACGTAGTCAGAGCAATCATTAATCAAAGAATGCATTCCATTGTATTTAACTACTTACACCAAACACAAATCCGAGCACGGCATTTTTCGCCTCAAATGTCGCATCGGGTAGTTTTCTTTTGTTGCGTTCAAGGTCAGCGCCTAACACCTCCTAGAATAGAATGGTGAAAAGAGAACACAAAAGAGATTGGCAAGGTGACATTGGATTCGCGTGATTTGCCATGTTGAAGGCCACTTGTAGCCATAGTTGCGCATTTTCCTATACCGCGCATGTTTCGGCTTGAGAACCAATTGAGCTGGAATCTCGGCCAGGTGACTTTCAAGTTGCGACTTAAGAAAATATCGATTTTTCAAAATTGTGGACGCGGCTAAGATTGATCACAAGAGGTAGCTGATGCTTGTGCCGATAATTTGATTTGGTAATTTTGCTTAAAAACGCGGGAGATATTGATATTTGTTGATTGACCGTCCCCGACGTAAGCCAACAATTTTTAGCACTTTGTGCCTCCGATATGCACGAGTATATATTTGACAGACAGACATCAAGATGGACATTCTACAAAACCAATACACTCTGTTCTTTTCGCAAAGTGTAGCAAAAAAAAGAATTGGCCTTGGGTGCAACAGACTGCATAATACTCTTTCAAAGCCCTGACTTCCACAAAAATTTAGTAAGATATTACGTCTTAAAATTTTGACACTTCCCTAATGGGCATATACATATTTGTAAGAAACCATCTTTGAAGGAGCACATCAATAGTCATTCTTAACTTATATACCCTTGTACGAGTTATTATAATTATGTTTTACCATAGAAAAGACATATCTGATCCCGTACGATGTATTTATGTTTGATCAGCAATAACAGCCGAGTCGATATCGCAATGTCCGCTTATATGTACCTCTACTTTGCATCGCAAGCATTAATTTAGTCGGATCCGAACGGATCGAATCACTATATTATATAGCCGCCATATAAATGAACGGTTGAATCGAAGGTTTATTAATAAAAAACTTGTTGCTTATATAGATATCTTGACAAAACTCGGCATTTTTAGATGGTCCTTCCAAATGGGCCAAACCTTATCAACATTGAAATAATGTTCATTCCACGAGATTATTTAATTTTTGGTGTGCCAAAGATAAGGGTTCCTTCACGTCTTTTTCAATTTGGTCATTTTAACTCAAATGCTGCAGAAGATGTAGACTTTCGCGGTCTTGCACACCCCCAACGGGCGTAGCCGTACAATCTTACACGGTGTAGACGAGTATATATTACAAAGTTATAGAGTAGACAACAGCAGCGAATAACATTACGTTCATACGGAGACATTAAAATCGACAGCAAGACAGACATTGTGCAAAACCAACAAATTCTTTTCACATTTTAAACATGTATATAAATATAAACTTGAAATCGAACATCGAGTCAGGTTAGACCTAAGCCGATTAAAAGCGCAACACAACCGTTCAAAATTCAAGTGACTAAATATGAATTCATAGACTCAAATACGTACACACACACACAGAAAAACATGTTGACCACTTACGTTTATTCTAAGACCCTACAATATAGGTATCACGGGCTTTGACAGCAAGGCGATAATTCGGCATTCAATGCAATCATGTTTGTAGATGCTTAAAATTCATAACGTCATTGTCAATTTAAAAAACAAACACTTGTATGCGTTTCGAATGTTTCGAATGTACGTACATCAAAATTCACTCATTTCTAAACAAAACGCATGCGCAACGCGCACAGCCCAAGCCAGTTACCTTTTGTTATTGTACGGTCAGCTTGGAGTGCAGATGACTGTGCCAACGTACAAATAATTAAACTCACTGTAAATTTTGTTGGTTTTTGAATTTTTCAAATAGTTGATACCAGTGAAGCCAGTGGATACCTTCCTATGCAAAGCATATATTTATGGCAGATTTAACAATTCGCGAGTATGTAAAAAAAACTCTACTAAAAATCTAAATATCTCACAGATTTCAACTAATACACATTTAATCGCTACGCAGGCTAAAGGATGTTTAGATAATTTACTAAGATAACCATAAAAAGAATAATTAGGCTGTACCTCCATCAATGTTAGGTAGCCCGACGTGGTAGTCGCCTGTTGATGCTGATTGGGGCAAGAATATATATTGCATTATGAGCGGTGTCTTTTGCTGCTTATTGTGAATGTACGATCAGTTTGAGCACACTCTACGACTGCCAAATATGGCATTACTTTCCATTGAACCTTAACATTATCAATCAAAATATTGGCAGGCTCATCATGTTAATATCTGAATACTGACTTAAGCTTTGATTCGTATTCTATTTATGTTAAAACTGAAGATATTGCTGCAAGGGCTTATATGCGAACATTTTTTTGATAAAAATAAAAGTCTATCTGCCTTAGTATTTGGCACGAGCACTTATCGCATGTTAAAATGATACTTGATTTCTGTTAAGCAGACAAAATCTATTTTCTAATTTGTTGGGTGTTATAGTTGGGTGTAACCAACTGCGCAATACTCGATTCAAAGTTAAATTACCTATCAAATCAGTCGAAAAAAGACGCGTATATATACGTTAAATATTATTTATAATAATATAAATGTCTCTCATCATTCACTTATATGGATCGCTGAATGGACATTGCACAAAACAAATAGCATATTTTCACTTATAGCACCGAGTATTTACACGTTTTTAAGTAAAAAATATATTCAAAACAAAATCTTAAACGATATTTATGAGAAACTTTGAGATGAAATGCTTCTTTTAAGGCGGGGTCAACTCACTAACAATATTCCCACCAGTCACTTCCTTATCTAAGTTTCCTGCACCCGTTAAGATTAAAGCGTGGATGTGTGTTTGCTAATCGCCCGTTTTTATGCCCGTACCCATTAAAATGAGTATAAAAGTGTTTAATTAAATTTAAAAAAAAAGTAGATTCTATTAGATACATATACATATAGTCTTGATAAGGACAACGAGCAAAGTTGTTCTGGCCGTGTACATCTGTCTGTCCATCTATTCTCGTATACTGTTTGAGCTACTACTTAGTAACGTAGACCTATTACTTTTTGTATGACTTTCGCAGGTTTCATCAAAGTTAAGAAAATCGCATATTTAGAGTTAAGGAGTTGTGCTTTGATATATATATACAAAAATATTACAAGAGATCGGACTAAAACAGCAGAATGTATTTCCAGCACTGTGGGTCTGATGGAAGAGTGTTTGAAGTATTGGAAGAGAACTGGTAAAAGTGAATGTGTGTCTTAGTGTATGTAAGGAATTCCTTCTTAATTTTATCACAAGGTATCTCCTAGTCACGTACTCGCAACTTGTGCACCTTGCTATTTTTGGAAATGTTAACTTAGGTCGTGCAGGTTGAGCAAGCGATCTTTTCGCTTCAAGGTCACAATTTTGAAGCTCTGAAGGGCTTGTTAACTGGATAAGCATTTGTACGCAGCTGTGCGTACATCAGATCTATACTCTCCTAATGGCGGAAAAACAGTATCAGTAGCGACTTCAGTCGACCACAAAATTAGCAAGTGCTCAGCTGCAGCTTACACAACATAAACAACTAAAAAAGAAAAAAAAAAAAAGCAAAAGGCGCAACAAAGGGGCTAGCAGGCAGTTAGCAAGTGACTTTTACGCCTCAGTAGTAACTGCAGCAGCAACAGGAGATGGCGGGGCAAAGGAGCTCACAACAAGTTTGTACCCCTCATGACACAATGGGCGCTGGCAGCCGCAGTTTGCAGTCGTTGTGTTCATGAGTTGGATGATGTTTGCTTCCTAGTTACTGTTTGCTGGTTGTTTACTACTTTACCTCTGCATTAATGGGATTCAGCTCGGCAGGCTCGCTACTGTCCTGTAGCTCGAACAGCGGCTCCGCAGGTGCCGATATCGTCAGTTGGGTTGTGGCCAATAGCAGCAGTGCCATCATCATGCATCTCATTGCGAACTTCATTCTGTTAGCTTACGTCCTGATGCTCTTACAGATCTATGAAGTTGCAAAAAGAAAGAAACAAACAAAAAGAAGCGGTCAGTTTGTATTTCCAGGCGTGACACACGGCGCATGCGCAATGTCGTCGCATGTGACCTTTAGCTGTGGGGCTCCCCAAAATGCTCTGCCCATTTGACATAAATACATATGTATATACTATATACTCTATATGCACGCACCAACTAAATCGTAGTAAATGAGCTTCGTAAGCCACAATTGGTATGCAAACTGAACAGAAACACACAACAGCTACAACAGCCCGCAATTACTACAACACAAGCCAAACTTTTGGAGCAGCTGCCGCAGATATGCGATACTAGCACGTTCACTAACTTTAAGCAAATGACTGCAGACGAAAGTTACTTCAATGATTTAGCAGTGGCCAAAAATCGGTTACACAGCCAAAGCGCAGTCGTCGAGCTTTTGCAGTCGACGTCGGCGTCCGCATAGACCTCATTTGGCCAACAACCAAAAATACAAACAACAAATATACATTCGACCATAAATATATATATATATACATGTATATGTAGATATTATGCGATCATACCTACGAGTGGACATGCATGTATTGTACAATTGTGTGTATGTATGTATGTATGCATATACATCTACAGTGCATGTATACAAAATGTAAGACTGAGAAAACCGAATTGAATTTTATTACGCGCGCGCTCGCATAGGCGTCAATGGCTCGGCAACGGCAATATCAGTATTCAAGGCGGCGTCAGCGTTGACGCCGACGCTGCCGTCGGCGTAGACGCTGCAGTCGGCGTTAACGCTGCTGTTGGCGCTGGCGCAGCGTTGGTGTGATGGCAGCGCATTGAAGCGACAAACACGTTTTGAGCGCAAATTTCAACAAAACTGCTCAATAAAGTGCAAAAGCTGTAACGAAGCCACTAACAACAACTTTAAAGGCTCAAAAACCTCTTTAATTTGTTGCAGCTGTAAGTGTTCGTTGCTGGATTTTTTGCAATGCTCTTTTAATTTGAACTTTTGGTTTTTAATTAAAACACAAGTTGGTCGTACATACTTACATATACATAAATTCGCATGCGCAATCATTTTGATTTACTCCATTCTTATTTCAAGCACATTTAATGATTATTTTGGATTCTACTCTATTAACTTAAATGCATAATATTAACACATATGTATGTATGCACATGAAATAAATAAATAACATACATATGCTGTAATATAAAGAATGACTCTCCCCTTCACTACATCATTTTAAGAATTACCCTATTATTTTGAATACCCTTTACGCAATTTAAATAGTTATAGGCAGAATAATTATTAATACATCTTGACCGATATAATGATCTTAGTCGTTTCAGCCACTTTTGTCTGTCTATATAACAGACGGAGCGAGCTTAAAAATTATAAGAACACTAACCATACAAGATACAGATGGGACAGCTAAAAGAAAAATTTGTATCCATTCATTTTTAGAGTTCTGGTCCAAAGACGACTTCGTTTTTGTTCGGGTCCGAAACTCGTTCACTTGCTAGAGAGTAAGGAATCGATATGATTTCTGCGATAGAACGGCATTGCTGCTTTTTATCTTGCTCCCACTATTGGAAACTGATTTGGCTTATTCTCAGTGCTCTTTCATTATGTCTAGATACCGTTTCAATGTTCGTATGTGTATGTGTCTGCACTAGAAAAATGCCCAAAAAATCAATTTTTCTTAAATATTTCTTCCCTTTTGTAGAGACGATCAATATCAAATAATGAAAGGGTTTGCCACGTCAATGCGAAATTCGTGCATTTTAGTTCGTTATTGTTGTTAAGGGTACCTAAGCATTGCCATGTGTGCATTGAAATTATTTAGTCGTACCATGCACGCATACTTGAACAATTTCGTATATGGATGGCGCTAGTATGCCTGTTGGTTGGCCTGTTCGATGCAAATTTGACAAGATATGAAGTTTTTGGGATTTTTGAATTTTGAGCTCTACACACACACACAAATGTGTGTGAATGTGAAGATCATGGGCGCAACAAAAAGTATTGGTTTTGATTGCTGAATGAAAAAGCTAAATATTTTCAGTCCAAAATATTTATATTATAAATATATTATCGCTCCAATGTTGTTTTTGGTATATTTGAATATTTTGAAGATTTTATTTGATTGCAAAAATTTCCGCTGGTCATATAATCATTTAAGTCAGTCTACCCTTCGGCACAACAGGCTGCTGCGGGTAATAAGGGGTCAACGGTCATTTAGCAATCCGAGCCCAATATAATAAAAAAGAGTGGCAATGATGCAATTTTCTTTTGCGCCCATGATCTGCTCATTCACACACATTTGTTTGTGTTTGTGTTTGTGTGTGTGTGTAGAGCTCGAAATTCAGAAATCCCGAAACAAGTATCATTTCTTTGTAAAAGATTTTCGAAAATGCGTTTGAAGCCGATGGGATGGTAAACAAATAACTTTTACCGTTGCAGTCGCTGAAACATGAATTCTTTAAGGTCAGTGAATTTTGAGAAAAGTCGCCAAGTGAATTTTCATTAAAATCATTGGGCATGAGCTTAAACCGCCTTTTCCCCAAAGAGGGATAGATTTTTCAGAATGTGAGAAGCACTTCTCAAATGAATTTGAACAGAGATCTTTGAAAATGAGTTTGCGGTCGATCGGACGATAAATAAAGAAGTTTTATTCGTTTTTCGTGATTTTTCTTTACTTGCGGGTAAAATTTTGCAAGATATAACGTTCCAAAACGACATAACTCCGCGCGGAGATATGACGTTCCAAATCATCACGTTTTTTTTTCAAAATCGAGGCTTGTAAGGATTTTGACTTGTAAGGATCAGTTCTATCGATTGGCATCAAAAAAAGGAAATCCATAATTTTGACGCAAATCGACAAAATGGCACGCTCTTTTTCAAAATAGAGGTCGGTGCGAAAATCGAAACTTTTTCGATGATTATATCATGAAGAGAGGTTAAGAGCCTCTCCTAGTTGGGCAGGCCACTCTAAAGTGCTCTTGCTTGATTTAGTTTACGATATCTACATTCATTTCCTGAGCATTTATCATTATGTCTTTTAAAAGCTCCGATTCCTGTTTAACATATGTCAGGGATTATGAGAGGTAGAGACCGTAACTTTGACATTTTTGTTCTCTTGTTGAATACGCAGATCAAGAATAATTCATATCTTATAATTAAATGGAATAGTGGGTTAAATAATAATTATTTAGCCATTGAAAATTCAGTTAACGTAATTGTTGTTTTTTACAGCAAGCCCACTTGATTAAAATGGAATAAAATCCCGACGTTCTTTATACCCTTAAGCAAGGCCAAATGTCTGTCCCCTGGACGGATAGCCTTATTGAGCAGACAGTCACACGGATATTAAGACAGTCGGATACCAACATACTCTTGCCCACAATGACATAAACAAAGCGACAGATGAACAACGAGACATCCAAACACGATGCAACTGTCATCGTTTACAAGGTCGAACCAGTTGAGAGAGCAACTATCTACGGTCTCTATAAATATAAGCACTTCATTGTCGACGTCGAAGAATCTGAGCAACAGCTGCTATATCCTACAGCTTAAACTGGGTTTGGTGGAGCTGGCTTTTTCTTTTGCTCCGCTTCACAGTGTGTTAATTAACTTTCATTTGTCACACCCTGTGCCCATTCAAAATGGGTAAGACGGGTATGATGGTTTTGTGAAAATGTATGTAACATGCGAAGAAGGCATTTTCTATCCAAAAAGAAATATATATATATATATATATATATATATATATATATATATATTATATATATATATATATATATATATATATTGGTCAGCATGAATAGTGGAGACAATCTAGCCTTGTCCGCATTTATAAAATTGTCAAGTGTAGAGAAGCTTGAAATTTAATAGACGTAACTTGTCCTGGTGTCCGTGCACGTGTATACTTCATATGATCGATAGGTTACATCGTTTCAAAGCGATCAATACAAATCGGTATTCAAATCCAATTTTTTAAATATGTTTCACAGGTTTTAAGAGCTAGCGTTGCCATTGTATATACCAATTAGGTACTTTATACTGTAAATAGACTTGCAATTTCTATTGTATTGTATTTCATATAGCACAATATAAAATCTTTAGATGTACTATACTATATTAGCAGTTTGTTTTGTGCGTTGATCACCAATCAGTCAATCAGGATTAGCAGTCTGATACAAAATTATGTATATAGTGGTCTTTGGCTGTGTATACATGCTGTTATTTTATTTAGGTTTTTTCTATAAAAATCCGAATGTTGGTAAGACGTATGAAACGTTGGAGGTTCGTTTGGTAATTGGGGGCGCGAAAGAAAAAGCAGCGCTGCCGCTGCGTAAGTTTCGCAGTTGACCGCACATGAGTTTTTTTGCTATGCATGAATGCAGCTATAAGTACCTGTATACACACTCAGCAATTCATATTTGGCTATATCTTATGATTTGATCAATTCAAAGCGTGGTGGTATATGCCACAATAATACACTGACTGAGGTATACTGGATTCCACTTGATCTTATTTTTATACCATTCACATATTGAAAATGGTAAGAAAAAATATAATGACTTTGTGCAAATGTATGTAGCAAGCAAAAGGCTGCATCTACCACGTAAAATATATATATTCTTGGTCAGCATTTATATGCCCGTATCATCATCTAATCATCAATAAGTTGAATTGTTATGGAAATACTATTCTTCAACATATATCGTAGGCTTAAAGATATCGAACTATCAAATTTGAAATGTAGCTTTTCATGTGCTTAGTTGGCGAGTTGATCTGGTTGTGTCCGTCTATAAATCTAATCGTATGTATGAACTCGACAATCCCAGAGACTATAAGAGCTACAGACTTTTAAAGGTAGGGCACTTTTGCCTGAACTCACTTAAATCATTATTTGTTCACTGTGATGCCGATGTGGACCGATTTAAAGCTTGTTTTCTAGAGACCAAAAGACCAATAGATATACTCTTAGGCAAATCTCAAGTCTTTGTTAGGAGAGATATAATAGACCAAAAATAAATTCCTCCCATCTAACATATGAGCAGCCAAGTGCAGCAGCAAATATATGGAAAAATTGTAATATAAATGCATCTGCAGTAGTCGCGATTTAGATTCGGAATCAAATATACGAGCAAGCATTGTACTCCGCTTATCTAAGATAGTCCATGCTACGGTGTCACGGTCCTCGCCAAAGGGCAATACAATTACAAAGCGGTGACAAGAACCACAATATTGCACGCAATGTTGCAATATAAGGGATATGGCCTTCGAGTTGAAGGGTTTTGAAAGTGTT